CTCCTCTAGGATGGGTTCTCGGGAAGACTGGAATGGGAGCTGCTGGGCACATTTCACACCTTGATCTAGAGGATAGTCTCACGGGGTGTACATATGACAGCAAAAGGGAGCATCCAAGCAAGTGCCGGTGGCTCGTGCCTGTAATCCTAGCTACTCAGATCTGAGGATCACAATTCAAAGCCAGCCCACACAGGAAAGTTCATGAGACTCTTTTCTCCAATTAACCACCAGAAAACTACAAGTGGCACTGTGGCTCAAAGTGGTAGAGTGCTAGCTTTGAGTGGAAAGAGCTCAGAGACAGTGTCCAGGCCCTGAGTTCAAGCCCCAGGACCGCCATCTGTACCACATGGAAGTTACACACAACAGTAACAAAGGTACATGTTTCTGAAGGGATGGCATAGAAAGATGGCAGAATTTCCTAACTTAAAGGAAAAGTGAGTAAGAAAAGATCCATGTGGGGCTGGGAATGTGGCTTAGGTGTAGAGTGCTTACCTAGCATGCATGAAGCCCTGGGTTCAACTCCTCAGCATCACATAAACAGAAAACGCCAAAAGTGGCACTGTGGCTCAAGTGGTAGAGTATTAGCCTTGAGCAAAAGAAGCTCAAGGACAGTGCCCAGGTCCTGAGTTCAAGCCCCAGGACTAACAACAAAAAACATGAAAGTGCATGAGTGTGAGCTGCTGTGTGGGCACGTGCTAGTGTAAGACTACCAAGATCCTGTGGAGTGTTGGTGTGGAAGCTAAAGTAACAGGAGCGTAGCCGCGTGTCAGCATGTGGTTGAGTCCATGCTAGGAAACAGTTGTGTGTGTGCGCATTACACAGAGGGCCTTGGGCCCCACTGTGCTCCTCACCATACCTGTGTAACAGCTGTGTAACAACCCCACCCAAGGAGAGGCAGGAGACCTCGATCCTGGCTAAAGAACCTCTAGTGTCCCTTCCCTTCCCACAGCGTGTTTCTGCGAAGTTGTAAACCCCATTTGGTCCATGCAAATTAGCTCTGAGAGCCAGGACTGGATCCCTGGGGCCCAACCACTACCATGATTGCAGCCCACCAAGACTACCGCAGGGGTAGTCTGGGAATGAGGTGAAGTTGGATTCTGTTTCTCAAATACCCAGGGATCCTTGTCTGTCCCAGTTGGTTCAGGTGTTGGGTGGAGAGTCTAGGTGCGGAGGGGCCACATTGGCAGTTAAGACTCTAGGGGAGGTAGGGCTCCCCCAAGGGCTCATTGAGCCCTCCAAGAAGCTGGACAGAGATCTGATTCTATAGACATCCCTAGAAGGCATAGTGCTCGAGCCCCTTCATAAGACCCTAGCCTGCCTCTCCATGGGAGCTCATTTTCCCCATGTCCTAGATCCTGTCTCCCCACAAGGAATACCTATTTCAAGGGGCCTAGTAGGGACTTGACACAGACACCCCAAACCCTGACAACTGTTGATAGGTTCCCATGACACCTGGATGCAGACGTGTCAACCACTGTACTCTGCCCTAGGAAGTAGGAAACCCAGTGGCCAAACCAGTTCCCAGCCAGAGGTTCTGGGCTGTCATTCTCACCGGGGGCCCTCTCCCGTCCACAAGATCCACAAGACCCTCTGCTAGTGTGTGTGGTATTTGAACTGAGCTGGGTAGTGTCTGTTTTCAGAAATCATGCTGGTCCTGCACAGGGTAGGCTCCTGTTTCTCCCACACATCAGTTCATCTCTTCACTCAACAAACACCCTAAGAGCCCACTGCACACAATGGCTGAGTGCCGCCTCCTTGCCTTACAGAGGAAATCCGAATATCCTAGGCCTCTTCTTTACCATACCCCAACTCCCACCACAAACCACTAAATACTCATAAAGACAAGGGTTTTTGGTAAATAAACGTTGTGGCCTAGGGAGAGTCTATAGCAGGCTTCAGGTTCCTTGGACTCTGCCTCCCAGATGTCCAGTGTTCTTCCCTAGGGACCCAGGCCACAGCACATCAGGCAGATCATGACAGGGTGGTCACCAGGGGTTGGATGCTGACCACACGCTAGGTAATGCTGCTAAACATTTTCACTAGCGTTTTCATTCCAACACCTGGGATAGGAACTATCCTCATTTTACTGATTGGGACACTGAAGATCCCAATTTAGGGTGTCCCAATTGGGACACTGAGGGTCCTAATTTAGGGTGCCTAAATTATCTGGCTTGAATTCCCACCCAAGCCTGCCTGTAAGTGGAGGCAGAAGCAACACCTGCCCTGGAGGAGTGGGAAAGTCAGGGGCCTACTTGCCAGGGAGGCCTGGCCCTTTGCAGATGAGAGGCTGGCCATGTGGTGCCCTCTGCAGGCAGCAGACCCACCCTCTACCAGCAGAAGATGCTCACATTGCCCGTGCCCAGTGGACTACTTGCTGCTCCTCTCCATCTCGCCATACTTCCATGGTTGTCCTGAGACCAAGACCACCCCCATCTCAGCTGCAGACCCTTGCTGGCTAGTGATTGGCCCCACTGCCCTCTGATTGGGGCATGGTGTGGTGGGAGTGCTTGACTGCCTTTAGGGACTCTAGGTGTCACTGTTGTTGATCAGGACCAGGTGTACAGAAGCACGGCTCTATAAGCCTGGGTCAAACACATTCTTTCTCCTGCCGCTGCCCTGGAGGTCCTTGGGGGGAAGGGAGCACAGGAACCAAGCTACAACCTACCTTCCCTGCTCCATTCAGAACTCCTTCCAGTATCTCCCCAACATTCCTATACTGTCTCCTCTGACCCCTCTCTCTATTCTTCAGGTGTCTCAGCTTCGGTGTCACTTCCTCAGAGAAGTCTCCAGTCCCTCCTAAAGATTACTCCATGCCCTACAAGATTACCTGTTTGTATGGGATTCACAACTGAGCACCAGGCCCGCCTGCCCTTGACTGCCTCATCTGGCATTACCTATGGTAATTCATATAAATTACCATAATTACAGTGGACATGGAAACATTTGTTGCGTGACCAGAGAGCAGCACACCACAGGAGTGGTTAGGCCAGAAATCACAATTTGCATAAACCATGGCCACATGTTGAATATGTCAACTCCTTCAAACTGTAGAGGGGGAAATGCCCAATCTGGTAACTGTCTTAACACCTGTTCAATGTGTTTAAACACATTTAAGTTCAGTAGGAACTGCTGGAGCTACAGTATCTCGGAATTAAGTGCTACAGGCATAAGTGGCTCACACCTGTAACCCAAGCTGCTCAGAATCTGATGGTCATGGTTCTAAGCCAGCCTTGGCAGGGAAGACCAGGAGACTCTCATCTCCAAGTAACTACCAAAAGGCCACAAGTGGAGCTGTGGTTGAGCTCTACAAAAAAGGTGAGATAGCACACGCGCGCACGCACACACACACACACCCTAAGTGCTAAAAACACGTGGTCCTGGTTTCTAAATTAGTATCTTTGTTTTTTGGGGAAATCACACTGCCTTACTAGAAGCCATTCTCTGGCCCCTTGGCCCCCAAGTTCACACACATACTTCCATCTCTAGACAGACTTGCCTGTTTCCTCCCCTGATTTTGAAATCTGGGGCTGCCATGAGAGCCCTCAGTGCTTATTCCCTTGGTGGCCACTCAGGGCTGGACACTAGGTGTTTTCTGAGAAGTGGCTGGGTCACAGCAGCAGGTGAGGGAGGGCCTTCTTGGGAACAGGGTGGGAGGTGCACGTACAACCTGAGCTGGGTAGGGAGGTGGCTTGGGAGCTCGTTTGCTCTGCCAAGAGGGCTGGGTCCAGACCACTCCAAGTGCCTACCCCCACCCCCAGACTCAGCTGAGCCCCCTCCCTGTCACCCAGCCCCCGTGGGAATGAATCAAACTAGGAGCTACCACCAAACTTGCTTCTTTCTCCCAGGGCCTGGTGACTTCTTGACAGGTTACAGCCCTAAAGACAAATAGATTCTGCCAAGCAAATAACTGTTTAGCAGTAGAGGTGTTGGGGAAGGCCCTAGAGTTGGTCAGAGTTGCCATAAGACCAGGTGATGAGGTGGGAACCCCTCTCCTACAGAGAATAAATGGCTGTGGGAGCCTAAACACATGGATACCTGCTTGGAGGTCTCCTTGCCAGGGCCCATCCTAGACTGTTATCAGGCTGCTCTTGGGGCACATGGGTCTTGTGTTCAGCCTCACCCCAGGCTCCTGTGAGGTTTCTGTGGCCTGAGACCTCCTGCCCCTCAGCTTCTGTACCCCAGACCCACCAGTTCACTCAAAACCATCATCTGGATCACAGCTCTGCCAGGCAGGGAGAAGGCCCAATTCAAGTCTTGGTGAAAGGCTGGCTCTTTAGAGTGTGAAAACAGTGTTTGCACCTGGCCCAGGTTGCCTCCTCTGGAGCTGAGCCTCAGCTGTGGGATCCCTGTGGACAAAAGGGTGCTGGTTCTGAAGAGTGCCAGAAACATTGAGACGAGGCAATAAACGCACCATTTACCGTTGTATTTGTCATTTATGTTCCTTTCAGGTTGACAGCTGCTTGATGCTTTCAACTGCCATGTAATACACCCCTCCCCCACCATAAGCTGACTCAGGTTAGCATGTGGGGTGGGAACCATGTAAGCCTCAATGTTCACAATCCAAGAAGCCAGGGCCCAAGTGGAACTAACTCCCCAATTTCCCTTCTCTGCTTTCCTCAGAAGAAAGACGCCTGTGACATTCTCGCCAGCTTCCTGTGCAGCTCCTCAAGGAGATGAACAGTCAGGACCCAAACGATGCTTGCTGGCTGAGTACTGCCAATGTGGCGTTACTTCCTACATGCTGGGGTGAGCAACAGAGGGGCACCCTGGTGACCACAGGCCATCTAGAGGCAGTTTCCTTACCTTTCTGGTCATCAGCTAACAGGCAGGTCAGCAGAACCACTGTAAACCCAAGGCACATTTTCCAAAAAGATAATGAAACTCAAGGTTTCCATTATTCCATGTGCTAAAGGGAAAGAAAGACCCAGAGACAACTACTACGTTGGGGTCAAGCAGGCCACAGAGGCTACACAGGCCAAAAAACTCACAGACACAGGAGAAAAGCTTTTGTGTGTGTTAATTTAATCATACAAATATTCATTTATACAGTAAGGAAAACCTCCTCATCTTCATCTCCTCCTAGGCACCATGAGGCCCACCAGACACCCACCCAGGCCAGGCGGGAGGGGCAGCCAGTGCTGCGCCCACATTCACCAGAGGCCACCAGGGACAGCGAGGCTGGGGGAGGACAGCTCACACTGCTGAGCCCTGGCAACCCTTCCACCCTCTCCTCTCGGGGCTCAGACTGAATTTGGGGGTTTTTAACCCTAATGCCAACTTCCCCCCTCTGGCTACCCTTGGGCCACCAGTTTGAGGTTCCCTCCAGGCTGGAAGTGCCTCTAATAGGCTTAGAGTTACAGCCAGTCCTTACTACAGGGAGAGAAGGCTGTTCTAGAAAAATGCCCCAAATTCATCTGCCCCCATGGCAAAAAGAAAAAAAAGGCATGCACACGTGCATACACATCCAAACACACACGCACACACACGCACACGCGCGCGCGCACACACACCTCACTCCGTGCACACAGACAGGTTCTTCCCAAACCTACAGTCCTCCCCAACTGGGCTCAAGCCCAAATCACAGATCACCTAAGCTGGCCTCGCTTCTCGGGTGTCAGAGGCAGCCTGCCATGTGTGAAGATTCTAAGAGGGGCAGAGGTGACTGCCTGCCTGCCACCCTAATAGGCAGGGAATAAAGAGGAACTCCAGGCAGTTCTAAGAAGCCACACCAGTGCGGGGAGGGAGAATGAGTGGCACCGACACCCTCCTCTGGCCCTGGGGAAGCCATGCACCAGGCTTGGACTTGCTCTGGCCCTCTGTAAGGAGCTCATTTCTGCAAGGCTATACAGAGATGGCTTGTTCTTGAAAAGGAAGCCAAAGTGCCTGAAATGTCTCTTTCTAAGCAAAGGTTGCCGACCAACAGGAAGACAAGCAGGAATGAAGGCAGGGCTAGGATGGTGGTAGCTGATGAAGGCTCTGCTGAATTGAGGCAGAAAACCTGTGCTGGGAGACGGGAAGGGCACCTGTTGTGTGTGGGGGCGGGCAGCAGATGGGGCTGCCAGGGTAGCTGAAGATAAGCTGCTTTGAGGGCACACGAGTAGGAAGAATAACTGGGCATGTGTGCACTCAAGTGGCAGTGTCCTAGGAGACGGGCACCTATTGCAGCAGCAGTCTGGGTTCACAAGGGCCCTCAGATAAAAGCCATCCTGCACCCCATGGGGTGGACCCCCAGCATGGACTTTCCTCAGCTCTGCTAGGGAATGGGAACCTGTGTGTGTTCCAGAGAAGCCCCAGCTGCACTGCTCTTCTAAACAGGCAGTGGCTCTGGTGAACTAAAGCTTTGGGCTTGGGGGAAGAAAAGAGGTGAGGGGGAAATTTCATACAAGCTTTTTCTCACAATCAAGTGTTTAAAAACAGTCTCAGAAGAGGATGAGGAGGAACAAACACCACACTTTTTTTTGGAACTCACACCCAGACAGAGACAGACAGGCAGGCAGACCATCACCCACACCCAGGCTACAGGACCCCTTGCAGCCACTCATCCCTTGGTCTCCCTGCTTTGCTCATACCCCCGGGGGGAGGCGGGGGCATGGTAACAGGCAGGGGACCCTGCAACCACACCCTAGACCCACATCCCTGGCTCTCAAACCAACCAAAACTCCAGGGAAGGAAGGTTGAGAAGGGAAGAGAGACTTTGCATATTCATGTATCTTTGGCAGACAGCTGTTCTCGCCTGTGCAAGTTCCTCATGGAAGATACCACGGCTCAACCTGCTCAGCGTCCAGTGGGGCAATCAGCCCGGTGAGCAGCCAGCCTCTGCTCCTGCTCAGCTGCCCCTTGACTAACATCCCCAAACCAAGCATTGTACTAGGGGAGGTCCTTCCACTTCTACCTAAATTATAGTCTCCAAGATCAAGTAGTCAGTGGCCCTTTCCCATAACAAGTTCCCCATTCAGGGCTGTTATTTTCTTCTCTTAAGAGCTCAGCCTCCACAAATAGGTGGTGGGGACACCACAAAGGACAACTGCAGGGGAACAGAGAAGGGAGCTGTGTGACAACAGATAAGCATGGGATGGGACCTGCTCACACTTGTCTGCTGCACACCTGCCGGTGAGCTACCCTTCCGTGTGTGCACGTGGCACACCCACCCAGCCAGCCCAGAGGTACTGTTCCCAGAGCAAATGGGGAGCCACAAGAGAACATAAATGTGATGGCATTTCCTTCTGCCAAGAGAAACATGGAAGAAAGCAACCTGAATTGTTACACATGTGCGCACAAGGACTCCTCCTGGCTTCAAACTCCATCACCGGCATCGTCCCCAAGGCTTCCTCTGCTGGCCACACAGGGAAGTTTGATCTTCAGAAAGGTTCTGATGCTAACAAGCCAAAGGATTGACAAATACAACTGTCAAATGTGTAAATCAACACAAGATTAAAGTGAAAAGAGGAGGAAGGTGATGACTCACTGGCTGATGCCACTATAAACACTGGGGTTAGACTCTGGAGTCAGATGACATAGTGATGTGCTTCTGCAGCACTGACCCACACAGTCCCCAAACATGCCACGCCAGCTGCAGCCGGAATCGCTTCCAGAGCAAACACTATTCTACAGAGAGTATGTTATCCCTTATTTAAAAAAAAGTAAAAGTGGGGAGAGAGGGGGAAAATTAACATGTGCTCAAAACTACAACCTTTCTGTAGGCAAAATAATTTTTGTTTAAAAAGATGGCTTATTTTCCCCTTCCCGAGTGACCTAATGAGTCGTTAGATTGACGCCTAATAAACAGAACCCAAGGTGGCTGCATGGATTTCTTCTTGGTAGCCTCAACACCACTCCTGCGATCCAGCATTCACACATGCATACTGAGTTTACTCAAAACTAGTCTGTTCTGCTTCTTCCTCTTCTTCCAGGATGGGGGAGGATCAGAGCCAGGGATCCGTGCGATGTGGCCTATAATCCAGAGGAACCCTTGCCCTCCCCCCCCAAAGTCGGGCCTTCTGTCTTTTGTTAATTTTTCTTCTTGCTGACACCCGTTTAAGACTGGCCGAAGGGGTAAGGCCCGTGGAGCCCCTGGAAGAGAGTGAAGACAGTCAGTGAGGGTATACAACAGTGTAACTTGACAACCAAACCAAGTACAAGAATCTACAGTTCCCAGCAATCCAGAAGGAAGTCCCAGTCATAAATGAAGTATAAGGATTCCCTGATGTACAAAAACTCTGAAGACCAAAGGTCAGGGCATGGAGTTAAGTTTCTCACTGAGTTACACCAGCCACTGAGAGGGGATGAGGGAAAGATAGGTAGTTCAACAGGTTGCTCAGTTGGTGCCTGCTTTCCTCCACTCAGGGTACAAAGCTTTCCTATGTTCTTGATAGCAATATCTCCATGTCTCTGCTGAGGATCCTCATATACCACTTTCAGATTCAGATATTGCTATAGCTCCGATACTTGTACAATAGAAAAATGTGGCACCTAGGATACTGGCTTGGTAGTAGGTCCTATACTGCCTTTATAATCCTCACCTGGCCCTGAAAGCCAGGTGAGTATTATTACCACACCCATTCAAAGGATGCCTATTTTAATAAAGACAAGGAATCTTGTTCAAGGTCATCAGGCTGGTAGCAAACAGAGCCAGGACACAAAGAATACAATGATGCTTCTTTGTTCTCTTCTGTCTCATGGTAGATTTATTCTAAATTCTCAAATGCACTCTGGCTACCTGGCTGGGTGGAAAAGGCTTGTCTTTTCCCTTATATTAAAAATGAGACACACGCCGAGTGTCCCTGGCCCACACCTATAATCCTAGGTACTCAGGAGATTGAAGCCAACTCTGCAGAAAAGTCCCTGTGACATTTTTTTTTTAATTATTTATTTTTTTGTTGGTCGTGAGGCTTGAACTCTGGGCCTGGGCACTGTCCCTTGGCTCTTCAGCTCAAGGCTAGCACTCTACCACTAGAGTCATAGCTCCACTTCCGGCTTTTTCTGCTTATGTGGTGCTGAGGAATCAAACCCAGGGCCTCATGCATGCAAGGCAAGCACTCTACCACTGAGCCACCTTCCCAGCCCCCTTTAGAAAAAGCCAGAAGTGGCACTGTGGTTCAAGTGAGTGCTACTCTTAAGCACAAAGAGGCTAATTTAATAAGCCCTCAGGCCCTGAGTTCAAGTTCCAGGACTAGCACACACACACATGTGTGCACACACAAAGAATGAGACACTACTCTGGGTGCTAGTGGCTCATGTCTGTAATCCTAGCTACTCAGAAGGTTGAGATCTGAGGATTGCAGTTCAAAGCCAGCCCAGGCAGAAAAGTCCCTTTAAGAGCTCAGAGATAGCATCCAGGCACTGAGTTCAAGCCCCATGACCAACAAAAAAAAGCAGAAAAGCAGAAGTAGAGCTGTGGCTCATGTGATAAAACACCAACCTGGAGTGAAAAAGCTAAAGGAAGAGTGCTCGCCTTGAGCTGAAGAGCTGAGGGACAGCGCCCAGGCCCAGAGTTCAAGCCCCACGACCGACCAAAAAAAGAAAAAAAAAGAAAAAGCTAAAGGACAGTGCCTGGTCCTAAGCTTGAATAATAGTTCAAAAAAAAAAAAAAAAGGAGAGGGAGATATTGGTTGGATTTGGGTTGGAAAAATTGAGACTTCTCCCCATCTCAACAAACAAGCTGGCCAGGTAGGAGGATCCATGGTTTGAGCTGGAACCTAGGCAAAAACTCAAGTCTACAAACAACTAAAGCACAAAAGGTTGGAGATATGGCTCTTGTAGTAGAGTGGCTGTTTAGGAAGTACGAGGTCCTGAGTCGAACCCCAGTACTACCCATTCACTAGGAAAGAATGAAACCCAAGGACTTGGGAATACGGCTTAGTAGTAAAGTGCTTGCCTAGCATGCATGAAGCCCTGGGTTTGACTCATTACCACATAAACAGAAAAAGCCAGAACTGGTGCTGTGGCTTAAGGGGTAGATCGCTAGCCTTGAGCAAAGAGAGGCTCAGGCACAGAGCCTAGGCCCTGCTTTCATGCGCTAGGACCTGCAAAAAAAAAAAGAATCAAACACCAAGATATGTCAACACCAAAAGTAGTTATACAAGTACCTTGAAAGATGGCATAGGAGTCCCTCTGCCCTCCCATCTTCCTTGAAAAGACTCAGCCAAACCTAGACCTGAAGGGCAAAAGTAACCTATCAGGCCACCCCAGAGCCCCCTGGACCAGAGGAGATCAAGTGAGTGGTGGTGAGAGTAGGATTGGCCTCAGCCACACACTTGACAACTATGTTAAGAACCCTGAATCTAGAGGCTGCTTGCCTAGCATGCACAACAACCCCGTCTGACTTTAGGCACAACTCAGTTGCAGAGTTGCCAGTGATCAGAACTTCGTTGACTTTGTATCCTTTGCTGCCACCCCCTTGCCTCCACCCCAACAATGTACCTGGTCCTTAGCAGACATGGTTGAATTAATAACTGAAGATATTTCTCAGACTACTACCTGAAATGACACAGCACTCTAAAAGTCACAGGATGCTGACCTCTCCAAAGCCAGGTTTTATAGGAGTTACGTAGGTGGGAGACAAGTGCCTGGGTGCCAAGCCATCTGTCTGGCTTTCAGGCTCCCAGGTTCCAAGAGTGGCTAAGTCATGTAGGTGTGGCTAGTCAGAAGCTCAACCCTCCTTCTGCAGAGCTGGGAAGAGAGCTGATCAGCTCCCTGCCCTGCACCACTCACCAAATCACCCTGGATGAGGTCTCTTTCCCCAACAGCACCTTAGATTCCTCTGCAAACCTCCTAGGAGTTGACACAAAGTGCCTTGTGGAGGAGGCTGAAAAACAATATTCTGAGAAAAACGTCTTCTAGTCTTGGGAGTCAGATGTCACAGCTAACAAGGATGAGGAACATGAGATTAAAATGTCCATTTCCCCACTCCCCCAGCACTGATAATGCTTAACTTTGTTTTTTCATATTAGCCTCCAAAGATAAAAAATGAGAATGCCTCTAGCTGCTCAGTGGTTTTAGCGGACAGAAACTCCTGAGGAGGTGAAGTGGAGGCAGGACAGGACAGTACTGAAAGGGCTCCAGTAAGTAGCAGAGTCTTCACAAAGACCCACTAAGCATGATTTCCCAGCTCCGAGTCAGGTAACCTAACCAACGACACCCCACTAGGGAGCAAAGAAGTAGCTGGTAAGGCCACTTTTACACTTGCTAGCCAAATTCAGCCTTATCTCCAGCAGGCAAGCAAAGGCTGCATGCAACTGTGTTGGCAACCAAAGCCCTACCAGCACAGTCAGGGTGGGCCAGGGCAGCAAAGCGCTCTGGCTTCCATTTGCAGGGTTTGGTGATAGTCACATTACACCAGAGGCAGGAAGTAAAGCAGCTTAAAGTAAGCCGCCCTGCCTCAGCGCCTCCCCACATTCACTCATTCAGAATAACCCCAGAAGAGAAGCTTAGGTTCCCTGAAGATTTAGAACCATTACAATGCCCAGAAGTCACGAAGCCGGAAAAAAAAAAATGCACAGGGGAAACTCCAAAAGCAAACAGCATTTGTTTCCTACAAAATATTTCCTCCTTCACTCTAAATGTAACTGCTTTCCAAGCCAAAGCTCCACACTTCCCGTGGGCCTCAATCAAGCACTGCAGGCCTGTGACTTGTCTCAGAATCCTTGCAGAAAGGAGTTACAGACATATACCTTTTCAGGTTCCCATTTGACAGTCTGGGGTTCAGACCATTTAGTGTGGGGCATTTAGTTAGCTTAGGCTGGTGGCTTTCACTGATTCCCTGATGACTCTGCCTTCTAAGAAGAAAAATGCTACTAATTGCCTTTCATCTAAAGAATGGCATATTAGGCCAAGTGCCTGTAAACCTACGCAGGAGGTTGAGATCTGAGGATGGAGGTTCAGAGCCATCCAGGAAGAAAAATCCTTAAAACTCTTATCTCCAGTTAACCATCAAAAAGCCAAAAGTGGAGCTCTTGGCTCAAGTGGTAGAGCACTAGCCTTGAGACTTCAGGAATAGCTCACAGGCCTGAGTACAAGGTCCCAGGACCAGTAATGGCATATTGGTGTGGTTGATATTTAATTGTTGAAGAAACAAGATGTTTTCCTTACCCCAAATTATCTGCCATAGGAAGGGAGAGAACACCATCAAAACTACTTTATAATCTAGACTAATACAGATAACACAGCACTCACTAGTTGCAGAGGAAAAATACTGGCTTAGAGTCTAAGAACAGAGGTGCCCAAGGGGAAGCATGTTTCTTAACAGTGGGACAGAGGTACAATCAAAGTGCAAGGACCGTCTGAACGTTCTGCTGGAGTTGTAAGATTTGTTGTCAGTTATGATAGCCAAGCCTAACTTAAAGAGTAAAACATGGTAATTCAGATAATGTTTACTGTACCTAGGGGCTTAGCAATTCAACTTTTTTTTTTTTTTTTTTTGCCAATCCTGGGTTTAAACTCTGGGCCTGAGCACTGTCCCTGAGCTTTAGCACTCTACTAACTTAGCACGCTTGTGGCTTTTTCTGTTTATGTGGTACTGAGAAATTGAACCCAGAGCTTCATGCATGCTAGGCAAGCACTCTACCACTAAGCCACATTCCCAGCCTTTTAAAATTTTTTTTTAAATGCTGGTATGGAGTTTGAACCTGGGGCCTGGGTGCTGTTCCTGAGTTCGTTTGCTCAAGGCTAGTGGTTCTACCACTTCTGGCTTCTTATGATTAAATGGAAATAAAGGTGTCTTGAACTATTCCTGCCTAGGCTGGCTTTGAACCAAGATCCTCAGATCTCAGCCTCCCGAACAGCCAGGATTACAAGTATGGGCCACTACACTGGCACAATTCAACTTTTGTTTTGTTTTTGGTCAGTCAGGGGCTTTAACTCAGGGCCTGGGTGCTGTCCCTGAGTTCTTTTTCTCAAGACTAGTGCTCTATCACTTTTAGCTACAGTGTCACTTCTGACTTTTTGGTGGTTAATTGGAGATAAGAGTCTCATGGAACTTTTCCTGCCCAGGCTGGCTTTGAATAGCGATCCTCAGATCTCAGCCTCTACCACAGTAGCTACAGCTACGTCTGGCCTACTTCTGTTTATGTGGT